ATCTTACTTTATATAATATAATATATATATATATTCTATCCAAACGGCATCGATATTTCGTGAGACGCTGGAAACGTGGAAATCATAAGGAAATCAGCTAATTTTCCGCACTCTCGATTCAATCGAATTCAATTGACTTAAAAAAAGGACGCGCACTTCAATGGTGCCAACCGCATTGTTGCAGTAAATGAGAATAACAAAAACGCAACAGAAAAAAGAGAGCAAAAAATGAAATGCGCCATTTTGGACGCGACCAAATTACAAATAATGCTCTGGTTAAAATTCCAGTAAAATTACTCACTCTGCTAATTGTGGAAATCCAATTGGATTGCAATTCGAGAATTCATTACTTAAAATGTTTTTTTCGAATATCCAAAACATTTACACACGCCGACGCAATAAGAATCGGTCCGCGACCCAGCGTACCTTCTTGCAACACAGAGACAATAGGTGATGCCAACTGCTCGAGTTTAAAGTCGATTGTGAAACCAGATTTGGTTTTGTTTGAAGTATACAAAATCAATGATTAAAATTATGAATTAAAAATAGATTATATTGCTAAATATATTGTGATTCGCGTGATTACTTGTATATTTAATGTGTATTCTGTGTTGTTTATAAAGTTTTGGTGCTTTTTATTATTGAATGTTTGCAGCACCATTAACCAAGTGCGTTTTGTTGCGTTGGTAGCGCCGTCGGTTACAGATCGATAGGATTTTAGCGAGTGGCGGTGCTGTCAAATAGGAAAATCCATTCGATAATAATATTTAGTGCGTTCGAGATTAGTGTTAATTATCTTTGCAGGGTTATAAATAATAGTTGTTGGAGAATGGGTTCTGAGGCGGTGCTGGAGGGTCACTACGTGCAGTACGCCCATTACAATTTCGAGAGCACCAGTGTGGAGTTAGGAAGGGCACAATGGCCCAACTACGATGACCAGCACTACCTCAGGTCCTGCAAGTGGTCCCCAGATGGCACATGTCTGTTGACCGTAGTCCGAGGGGCTGGCATGCACGTCATGGAACTGCCATCGGATCTGTACAATGGGGACTCGATCATGAACAGCAGACAGATTCAGGCCCTGATGCCAGCGGTCAGTGTTCCAGAGAGTGGACTCATCTATGATTACTGCTGGTACCCTGGAATGAACAGTAGCACAGCGGCCACCTGCTGGTAAAGTGTTTTTACATACTCTTTCTCTCTTGGTAATTAATTTGATTGATTTTTGTGCGTTGCAGTTGGGCGGCTTCTGGACACGAGGGCCCCATTCACTTGTGGGACGCATTCAGTGGTGAGCTGAGATGCTCGTACAGGGGATTTAATAGTGTCGATGAATTGGAGGCGGCGATTAGCGTAACGTTTTCAGCTGATGGTCAGAATATTTTTTGTGGTTACAAGAAGAATGTTAAAATTTTTAGTACTGGACGACCGGGACGGGAATACGTTGAGTACCCTACCAACCATCCAGCCTCCTGTCTGGTAGCCAGCCTCGCGCAACCCGGTGTAGTTGCAATCGGTATATACAACATACATATATGAGATAACGTTGACGAACGAATATATAAATATAACAAAGACGAGAAAGAGGGGAAACATGCAGATGACAATAATAACTGTTGTCGTGTTTCAGGTACATGGAAGAATTCGATAGAACTCGTGAGTCAGTCGGACGGATCTTTCAGGCATCTGTGCAAACTGACTGGACACAAGGGCGGTGTGACGACGATGGCGTTCAGTCATTGCGGTATGCGTCTTTACAGCGGAGGCCGCAAGGACAAAGAGATCATCTGCTGGGATCTGCGTGTAAGAAAGAAAACAAACAAACAAAAACCTATGCTAAACACATATGTTTGCGTGAGTGCGTTCGCGCACATCACCTTATATCATCATCATCACCAATATTTTTGCGAAAAGGAAATGATTGGTTCTCTCTCGTCGACGGAGTTTGTTAAGTCTTCATGATCGCTTCCGGTTGTTTTGCAGGTGCCGGGAAGGCCTCTGTTCTGCGTACCACGAGACGCCAACACCAACCAAAAGATCACCATAGACATCTCCAGTTGCGGCAAATGGTTGGTCTCCGGCGGTACCGACGGCAAAGTGCAGGTGTGGAACGTCGAGGAAAACAGCACGCCCACAACGCACTATCAGGTAATAACGATACTCTTAGTTGTGCATTTGCATAATATATCAATTCAAACGTCTTTTTTCTTTGCAGTTACCGTTGCACAATGATTGCGTGAATGGCGTAAGCCTGCATCCGTACAGACCGGTGTTGGCGACCGCCAGCGGACAGCACCACACTCTCGACCCGTTGCACCACACGAGGAACACGCAGAGCTACGAGAACGCTCTCTGCATGTGGTGGGTGGGCAACTCGCACGATGATCCCGATTACATCACGTCCATCATAAAGGCGGCGTCGAACGTGTGACGTGATGCGTATTGTTTCAACGTCGCCGCCGCCTGCACCATCATGATCATCATCACCACAACATGCTCCTCCAATCAAAGTGCGAGTATGACGACAATCACGCCTCCATTCATTCGATCCGTTTCCATTGCCAGCCAATAAGAATTGATGATGGTGGGACTATGGACGTTACTTTTGGTGTTGTTGTACAAAATAATTACTACTAATTAATAACATTAATCAGCAAACAAACAAAAGTATATAATTATAAAAATATTGATGAACTAAACACGATAATCGTTGTCGTCGTCGTCGTTTATAACAAGACTGTGTCTACTATTTCTGCTCGCGTTAACTCGTTTCATTCGTACCTATTTTATATATATATAATCAGAGTTTAATTTTAAACAACAAAAAGAAAACTTTTATTCTTAGGTCTTGCAAGAAAAAAGGAAATCAAACAATTTTCTACTTATTATTTTCACTTCGTTTCTACATCGGTCTTAAAAATACTATATATATATAATATATATTTGTGTTATTTTCAAAGTTTTTTTTTTCTTTTCATTCTTTCTTATCAACTATTTTTCTCTCGTAGCTTAATTATAATTATAGGAGTAGTAGATTTAATTTCACGGATGAATGTTTTGTATTGTATATAAATATATAGATGCGGAGACAAATTATTCTATGTTTAAATATATATATATATATATAAAATATATAGTTTTATGGAATAAAAACATTTTCGTTTTCTTAAACTATCTCACTTTTGCACCAACATCCTTCCTTCTTCGTAGTAGTAGTAGTAGTAGTACTAAACTACTTATACTAAACCAACAACAACCACTCGTTCTCACTCGAAACACTATTTGTTCTTTTTTTTAATATAAAAAAATAAGATAACATTCAATCTCTCATCAATCAATCAATCGAAAACTAACTTAATATAATATATGTAACACATTATTTTTGATATCCTCTCAATAATCTATGGCGACGATCGAACGGTTCTCGGTGTAGGAAAGAGAGAGATGTGCGATCATACGAACGCTTCCTGCGGAATGAGACCCTTGTTCTTGGCCTCGGTGAAGACAGCGCCCGCCATCTGATAATCCCAGTTCGTGTCTTCCAGACATTTTCGAGACCACTCCGGGTTCATGCCGGAGTCGCGCTGCATCGCCTGTATCATCTGCTGCTTGACCGCATCGTCTGGGACGGGAACTGCCGACGAGGAAGGACCGCCACCACCGCCGCTCGTGTTCAGGTTGGGCGAGGTCGCGGGCGTCGGCGGTACGATCTCCACGGTCGGAGTCTTGAAGGCTTCCTTGATCTGCGCCTCGGTGGCGTTGCTGATGTGCACCTCCTCGTTGACGATGCAGTAACCGCTGCCCGAGGGCACGATCACGAAGGTGCGCACAAAGTAACGGAGCGGAGGTCTCTGCTTCGCCGGCTCCTTGAAGATGCCCGTCACCGTCACCAGAAGCAATTGTGGCTGCGGAAAACAAATAAAAAGAGTCAATAATCAATGATTAGTGTGCAGTAGTATGCTTACAGTGAATAGGCTGAGATCGACCGTGAAACTGTTCATGTCGTGCTTGGTGTGCGGCATCTCGTCCAGGAAGGTGACGATCTGCAGGTTGCCGTGCTTCAGCATTTTGGCGCGACGTTCGCTGTCGGTGACGCGCTGCAGGTTCCTGTTATCCGTCGCGTACCACGTCAGAAACGGGGGATTCCTCGAGTTCTGTCCGTACGGATAGGCCATCGTCATAGAGAGCAACGCGTTCTCGTGGTACGCCTGCAGCAGCGGTTTGCGCGAATCCGAATCGAAGATGATGAAGTACTGCTCCATGAATTTCCTCATTATTGCTTGACCTTCCGCGCAGCACAGGAACGTCTGCTTGCTGGGTGGAAGTCTCGCAACATCGTCCTCGATATCGAAAGAGATCGGCGGCGGCAAATCAATACCATCCTACAACAATCGATATTAATAATCAGAGCGCACAAAATCCAACCAATACAAAAAGAGAAAGAAAACTCACCAGTTTGACGACCTTCGGCAGCCTCTTGCGGACTTCGCTGTAGACAAAGAAGACACTCGCAGTTATCGCAACATACATCACTATACAACCCCTGCTACTACATCCAACTCCAGCACAAAAACAAAAATATAATACATTAAATATATCCACCAACAAAACAACAACTCCCCCAGCAATGTCAAAATAAGTTGACGAGCCTCAGAGCAAGATGTTGGCTACTCGACGATCTTTTCATCCTGCAACAATCTCTTCTCTGGGGTATACACACATACACAAATGGAAAATTCAATCATTTTGTAGTGAAGAAAGCAATTGCACTCTCCTCCCCATCGATCAATCATCATCGCCCCACGATAATACCACCATCATACCATCAACGCGATTTACCACCTGCAGTCAACAAATTAAATTGGAAAAACCTTTTTTTTTAATTGCAGCTTATTCCAAAGTTTAATTATGTACAACTGGAAGCAACCATTGCAACTCAATTTCATTAGTTACAAGCAAACAACAACAATGATGACGGTGGTATCAACAGAATATCAATCAATCGAGTTAACAACAACAACAATTACAAATTCATTACACAAACAACAACTCCATCTGATATATCCCAATTTCAAAATATAAATAATTATTATTTTAAATTAACATCATAAGGGCAATTCTGATCTTCCAGATCAATTTTTGTTTACATCATTCAAAAATGCATTTTCTCTCATTTTTTTTTTTTCGATTTGCATCTACAGATTTCTTCACGCCCATTTAATTGCATCATTACGATAATTGAGAAAAATTCGAAACTTCTTCCGCGAAAATTGTAAATTGAGAAATCCAACCCATCGGTGAATCATTGATAATTTTTCTCCAATCATCTCATATCTTTTGCTTATTTTTTTTTTGGTTTGTGTGAAGGAAGGACCAAGTTCATTTTTTGTTTAGTTTCTTTTTTCATCGTGTAAACTTGCAAGGGGGTGGTGGAAAGAGTGGAAATGTGTTGCACAGCTTCGTCATCTATCTTTTTTGGATACCTCGAAACCGGCCACCCCGCGTGTGCGCGGAGGGCGCGATTTCTACGGGGCGTACGGGCGGCGCGTCCTCATATCTGGCGCGCCCTTCGGATAAAAAAAGGAGGGACGATGTCCTCCCCCCCTCGATCAACAAACGAAGGGCGTGACGATAGAACAACGAGACTCGTGTAACGAGCGCGGACGAGCAGGGACGAACCCTTGTTCGTTCGTTGAACTACCTCCTCTCTGCTTTCTTTCTCTTTTTCGGATCGCGACCGTCTCGCGTACGCCCGATACGAAGAAGAGCGTCAGCTGCAAATCACACAGGTATAGGAGGTAAAAAGGGGAATTAATCTGTTTTTTTTTTGGACATTAAATTGAATGAAAACAATCAACGACAAATCGTCACCTGGTGTTTTTGAAATGCAAGGAGAAATGAAGAAATGTCGAATTTTCCATTAAAATAATACATGCTCGCTATTTCGCACAGACAATATTACCACGAAGATGTGAAGAAAGCTGAAGCAATGAAAAAATGCATTTTCAACCCGATCTTTCTGCTCTTTTCTCATCTCACCTTTTCTCCAGATTCAGAATTGCCTTTACGCAAAGCACCACATCAAACGGCATTATCTAATTCTAAATGAATCTGTCGATTGAGATTACCCACAGATGAAGTTATCCAATTGTAAATAGATCTTACGCAAATTGCAGCGCACGATTGATGGAGGTATGGCGCAATTGCTTTCTTCAGAAAACTAAAACTATTCCATTCAATTAGTAATTCTGATCGTACTTTCTTCCATCTTCTAATCTGCGACCTTTCGAATAAAAGTCGATCGAGACTCACCCTCAGTGTTTCGTGAATCTCTTTCTCTCACAGATTATTCATAATTCCCCCACGGAATTTAGAAATTTCCGAATCAACAACGCATTAGTACATACTACCTGCTGATTTGTTACCTGATATAAGCGGTTTGGTCTTTGAATTTGTCGCAGAGTGGGTTACCGTCGAGCAGCAGATCCACGACGCCCAATCCTTTAAGACTGTCCAGCTGCGCGATATCCCTCAACTGGCCAAGAAGAAAACGAAGAAATTTCAATTGCATAATTTGTAAAAAAAACTATCAAACTGTACCTTATTGTGCCCGATGTGCAAGACCTTGAGATTCGGAAGCAGCGTGGTCATATCCTTGAGCGGAATCAGCATGTGTATGTTGTTGTTGCTCAAATTGAGCGCCTCCAGGTCCCTTATATTCTCGGAGATGATCTCCAGCGCCTGCCGACAGATCTGATGCTTGGCCAGGGCGCAGAACAGTTCTTGGAGGACGGGATCGATGTGGAAACGGGTCAGGTCGAGCGCCTTCGTCGTCGGATTGTAACGCTTCATCATCGCCAATTTCATGCGATCCTTCAGCTTCAGGCTAATCTCCACGTTCGGCATACGGTTCATCACGCGCATCATCAGTTTAAATCCATCGGCCATCTGAATCTCTTGGTTCAGATCGTTGAGCTTATCCGCGACCTTCGGATCGTCCACATAGAAAGTCACCATTGTTCCGCTCGCCGTCCACTGTTAATAAAACACATATAAGCAACGATTCAAAAGTAATGGATAATCTTACGTTGATTGGGATCAGTGGCAGCGGAGCTATATGTTGCATCAGCATCTGTTCAATAACATGTCTCTCGTATCTATTTCCATGTGGCATCTAAAATAAATATGATAATATATTAATTATTACATTTCTAATCAGCTGAATCATAAATGTGATATATGCACTTACATAAACAGAGTACCAGGTTATGGGCCCGTGCATCAACTTCCTCTTGACCCTGCCACGAGCAGGAGCAGGTGATCCACCACGGGTCATCCTCTTGCCACCCTTGGAGAACTTCTTGTTGTTGTATCTGGCCCCGTTGAGGCTGCTCCCCATGTCGATGTCCTCATCCTCGAAGTGAGACTTCAACGAGTTCGCCCAATCCTTTTTCGAGTTGTCCCTCTGCGTGGGATTTCCGCCTCTGCTCGACTTGAAGCTGACGCGTCTCGTCGACTCGCTGCTTCGAAAGTCTGGCTCTGCAACGATGAAAATTACACGTATAGTTTCTAATCACGGTTGGCCGTGCCATGGCGTGGTGTCGCAAAGAAAGTGAAACATGAAGAATTTACTTTACCATTGTACTGATTCCTCCAGCCACCGCCGCCACCCTTTTTACCATTTGGTTTAGGCATTTCCGCAGTCAAATCTTTAAAAATCACAACTGGTTTGCACACGAAATTTGTGGAATTTGATGAAGTGCAAATGCGCAGCAAAACTTGACCTGCCTGCTCCTTGTCAAATGAAAACGGCTGCTGTCGTTAAAATGGCGACCGATATTGACGAAAAACCAGCGCCGCCAACATGCAAATAATTAATCTGTGCGTATTTTTATTCTACCAAAGTTGGTAGCGATACGTCAAAACAGCGTACGAAGGTTATGTTTGTTGTTTTCGTTGCTATCCATTAACAATTCAGTGTTGCACGATGAGCGGTGAAGGTTCTTCTTCCAAGACGATGAGTTTCGCAGAGAAACAGAAGGAGAGGATGAGCAGAATGAAAGCGCTGCACAAGCTGCGAAACGAGGCGCGCACTCACAATCACCAGGAGGTGGTGGCAGAGGATGCCAGGATGAAGCTGCCCACCAACTACGAGAATCGCAGGAAGCAAGCGGACTGGATATTGAAGGACGACAAGGCGAGGAAGGAGGCTCAGAGCAAGGGACAGGACTACGACAGGTTGAAGCTGCTCGAGGTCTCTGCACTGGACGCACAGATGCTGGAGAGGAAGAAGAAGAAGAGGAATCCCGACGAGGGTTTCAGCGATTTCGAGGCGGCCACGGCGAGACAGTACAACAGATTGGTGAGGGGTATGGCGCCCAAGGATATGGACCATTACGAGGAGCAGAAGGAGAAGTACGGAGATGCCTTTTACGGGGGCAAGCATGTGATAATACATGGGTTGCACGAGGACAGGCCACAGGCTGTTGATAATATGGTTAAGGATCTCGAGAACCAGATTAGCAAGAGGGAGAAGTTCTCGAGGAGGAGGACGCACAACGACGACGCTGACATTGATTACATCAACGAGAGGAACGCCAAGTTCAACAAGAAACTGGACAGATTCTATGGAGAGCACACGGCTGAGATCAAGCAGAATTTGGAGAGAGGCACAGCTGTTTAATGTGTGTTTTAGTGATAATGTTAAGTTAAGATCATAGGGAATTCAAAAGTTACTTTTATGTATTGATAATCTTTTCCAATTTTGTTTGTTTGTAAATAATTAAATTAACAATGATTGTGTCTAATTGATTCGTTCATCACAGTTCGTCGGCTCCGGTTGTCCTGTACTTTCCTTTCTTTTTGCTCGTCTCTGTGGGACCGCAGTAGCAGGCATTCTTCTGCGCGTCCAGATAGGATTTGCAACCCAAGGTGAGGGTGCCGGTGAAGAGCATCTTCGCGGCCCCTTTGCACGCGACGACCCCCGTCTCACCGAGCCTCTTCTGGTTGCCATCACAGAGCTTGTACAGGCACCTCTTGAAGTCCATATCGCACACCTCCTTGTCCCTGCCGCAACTGTCGTAGCAGACGTCGTGAGCGTCGCAGCATTTCGTCATGTCGCCAACCGGCAAATATTGGTTATCAATTTTCAACCCGAGAGAGCCGCATCCGTTCGAGGAGGCCCTGTGATTTCGATCCGGCTTCGGCGTCACTATCACAAATTAACAACAACAACAATTAACAACACATTAGAGATTATATTCATATGTATATATTACCGTTAACGTTCGGACACTTGAAGATGCAGTGCTCCTCTACGGCCATATGAAAGACATCGTTGAGCCCGTTCAGATTGTTGGCGACGTTGATGATGTTCTTGACGGCATCCCCGAAGACGTTCTCCGCCGAGATCACCGCATCCCGCAGATTACTCAGAATACCAGAACCGTAACCGGAATAAGCGTACCCGACGAAGGTCAGCACGTAGATCGCTATCTTCCCGAACGGAATTTCCATATTTTTCTTGTGCAATTTCCGCGACGAGATGATGTGGACGTTATTTCCACATTTATTTATAAACGACAGTTGGCCGTGCGTGCAATTTCAGATAAAGTTAGACAACCAAACCACCACCACCAAAATCAAAATAATTCTCTATTTAAATAATAATCATTTATTATCTTTTTGCGCATTTCTTCCTATAGCCTAATAAGTATTATTCAAAGTATTTCTCCAGCTTTCCGTTCTCGTACAACGCTTTGACGTCCGACCCGCCACCTAGACATTCTCCCTTCACGAACACCCTGGGCACGGTCTTTGCACCTGTCAACTCTCCCAGGATGGCTTGGATCTCGTCCGCGTCGTCCCTCTTGTCCAGCTCGATGGCTGTGTACTTTTTCTGGCACTTTTCAAACACCTAAAACCAAAAATACAATTAATCAATCTATCAATCGCAATTGAGCATCTTTCACTCACATCTTTCGCCAATTTGCAGTAGGGGCAGTAAGTCTTCGAGAAGATGACCACCGCGTCGCTGTTGATCCATTCCTTGACGAGGGTTGCGGTCGGGGAGGCCATGTTTGCGTGCGTAACTTTCGAACTGAAAACTCCCATGATTTTGTTTCTTGTTTTTTTGTTTGATTTTGTTTAATCTTTGCTTTTTTTTTTGTTCTCTCTCTCTTAATTTTTCATAAACCACAATCTAGGTGAGGCGGAAACGTGAATCATTAATAAAAATTGTGCAATACTAGTGTACATAAATTCCAGTATTATTCATTTGTTTACATAGAAGCCGCACAAACAATTAAAGGACGGACAAATTGCGAAATCTCTGCTTTCAAAGGCAAAAAACACATAGAGACAAACAAGCTGGTTATCACACGCAGAGAGAAAAAGGCAATAAATAGAAACTCGCTTCTGATATGAGTTTATAGACGAAAGATTGGATTTACTTACGAATTTAACTTCGGAAGAAGGACTGGAATGGAATGGAACTGACGTCGTCGACGACGATTCTTAAAACCGGACTTGACGCAAACGAAATAGTTCAAGGCCGCCTTCCACAACCTTGATCAATAATTCTAAACGTCGTTTGGGTGGCATAACCAGATCGCGGAAATTACAATTACCCAATTAATTATTCATCGACACGCACGCATCGCTTGCGTGTCTCCAACACCTATCGTTTCTACTGATTAATTGGATCGCGTTCCACTAATTGCATAACAATGCATAATCACATAATTCCATTGTTTCGCATATTAAAAGTCTTAATTGATCATAATATCATCAAGTCAACTTTTAATTTGTTGCACTTGTTTAATTGTTAAGAAGAATAAGAAGAAGCAAGTAGAAAAAAAATGTAGCAGTTAAAAAAAAGATAATAATCTGTTTTCTTTAATAAATATAATCTGTATATTCAGAGTGAATTCAAGAAATAAAGACAAAATATTAAGTTGTTAATGTTAAGACAAAGACGAAGTTGGTTATGCAACCGATGACGCCTTTTAGAGTTATTTTTTTCCTGTTGATTACTAGTAGAAAATTATTTCGGTTAGAGTAATTGTAACGTGGTGCTTGCGTAATAGTGGTTGTTGTTCTGTTATTTTTTCATATAATTAGTTAAAAGTTTTGAATTTTTAATTGGTGTGAAGTTGGTTGCTTATAATTAATCCAATATAAATTACGTTTTTTTTTTTCGATCAGTTTGTGGATTAATTGGGATGAATTTAATTAATAGTTGACGGTGTTTTCGTTATTGAATCGGATTTGCGCGTCGTCGTCGAGTGTGCGAATTTATTTTTGCTTGAGGTTTTCGGCAAGGCGGCGGCAGCAGCGCAGCAGCAGTGTGAAGTTGGAACGTCAAAGTTTGACGTGGAATCATACAGCTGTTGTAGAGTTCTATTTTTCTCTGTACTGATGTGTGTGTGTGTTTTTCAATGTTGGTTCAGCTGTTGACGTAGGCTTCGATAAAAAGAGTTTAATTGGATTGTCGGTGGTATGATGTAAAAAGTGCGGCACAGAAGATCGAAGAAGTAGAAGAAAAGAAGGATTCGTGTGAAGAGATTGAGAGATTTGCGTGGAAGAAGACCTGGGGGACGTCGCCTGAGAGATGTCGCTTCCAGGGAACGGAATATTCGTGGTGAAGGGGGAGATGTCCATCCTGCTGACGGCGATGCGCAGGGGCAACAATCGTTGGTCCTCGCATCACCACCACCAGGACGACGATCAGGATCCTCTGGTGAAGGCGTTTCAGGATCTGAAGGAGGTGCTGAATCGGATAGACGACCTGAGACTGATCGATCCCATAGAGTTCCTCGGCCCGTTCCTGGAGGTGATCAGGTCCGAGGACACGACGGGCCCGGTGACCAGTCTCTCGTTGTCCGCCGTGAACAAGTTCCTCTCGTACGGCCTCATAGATCCGACGCACTCTTCGATACCGCTGACGGTGCACAGCATAGCGGACGCGGTCACGCACGCACGCTTCGTGGGCACGGACCATTCCTCCGACGGTGTCGTACTCATGAAGATACTGCAGGTCCTCAAAACGCTCACGCTGTCACCGGAAGGCGCCTCGCTCACCAACGAGAGTCTCTGCGACATTATGCTCTCATGCTTCAAGATCTGCTTCGAAACCAGACTCAGCGGTAACTTGTTTTTAATTAATTAGAGAAAGACATAATACAATTTTGAATGTTGAATTTTAGATTTGCTGCGAAGAACTGCAGAACACTACCTCAAAGACATGATACAGCTGGTGTTTATGAGGTTGCCGCAGTTCCCTGAAGTGTTTTCTGCCAATTTCAAGCAACTGAAGATGCGACCCGGAACGATGGTGGATCACGGCAGGGTTCGCAAGAAGAGTCTCGCTAGTGGTGGTAGCAGCAGCAAGCTGAGCTACAAGACGACCAAGCCGACGAAGACGCCCGTCGAGAGCAAACCGGAGGAGAAGAACGAAACGGAGACGCAGACACAGACCTCTGTGAATATACTGGACATGCAGGGTTCGATATCGAATCAAATCGGCGCCGCCGCAATGCAATGCGATATCAGCGTTCAACAGCAGCAAAAAGACGAAGAGCAAGAGGTCACGAAGATCGAGGGCTCAGAGGAGAAAGATGATAAGGAGGATGCTGCTGCTGCGTCGGAGCAGAATCAGCAGCAGCAGCAGGAGGATTCATCGCAGGAAGAGTATATTAATCAGAGGGGGATTCGTTTCACCCAGCAGCATCCGGATGATATTCCCGCTTTGGTTCCGTACGGTTTGGGTTGCGTTTACGAGTTGTTTCGCTTTTTGATCAGCCTGTGCAATCCGCTCGACAAGCAGAACACCGACGTGATGATCCACCTGGGTCTGACGCTGCTGACGACCGCCTTCGAAGTCGGTGCGGACAGCATCGGCAAGTACACCAGTCTCATGTCGCTGGTGAAGGACGAACTCTGCAGAAACATGTTTTCACTTCTCGGGACGGAGAGGTTGTCCGTTTTCGCCGCCGATCTGCAGGTGTGCTTCCTGATGTTCGAAGCCCTCCGCACTCACCTCAAATTCCAATTGGAGTTCTACCTCGGCAAACTGGTGGACATCATCGTTTCCGACTCGCCGAAGGTCACGTACGAGTATAAGGAGCTGGCGCTCGATAACATTTTGAATCTATGGATGATACCGGGCTTCACCGCAGAACTCTACCTGAATTACGACTGCAACATGTACTGCACGAATCTGTACGAGGATCTGACCAAGCTTCTGGCAAAGAACACGTTTCCTGCGGCCGCAGCAGGAGGAGGCGTCTACAACACGCATCTGCTCTCGTTGGACGCCCTCTTGACGGTCGTCGAGAGTGTTGAGGCTCATTGCGTCGCCGAAGATAAGCAAGAGGCTGCAGTTGCGGGCGCTGGCGCCGAAGAAGAGATCGAAGAGGGGAGCCGAAGCATCGAGAATATACGCGATTTAATTGGCAAGGATTCGCTTAGCAACAGAAGGAAAGTCAGCGAGAATATACCGAAACGAGAGGAGCTTTTAGCTATAAAGGATATAAAGAAGGTAACATACACATCATTGGATGATTTTATTGTTTATTTATTTGTGTATTGGTATTGTTGTTGTTGCGATGCAGTGGTTGCCTACCGGTACGGAGCATTTCAATCACAAACCGAAGAAGGGCATCCAGTTTCTGCAGGAACACGGCGTCCTCAAATCGCAGTTGGACGCGAACGAGGTGTGCGCATTCCTGCGAGAGAATCCTGCCTTGGACAAGAAGATGATCGGTGAGTTCATCAGCGGTCGCAACAATCTGCAGGTGCTCGAGGCGTTCGTGAAAATGTTCGATTTCAACGAGACGCGCATCGACGAGGCCCTCCGTCTCTACCTAGAAACGTTCCGGCTTCCTGGTGAGGCTCCATTGATATCGCTCATCCTGGAGCAATTCGCCGAGCATTGGCATGTAAGTTTATAATAAATAATTCATTTACTTTATATAATAACTATTGATGATTTGTTTATTTGTAGAAATGCAATGGTGAACCGTTCGCAAATGCCGACGCCGCCTTCACTCTCGCTTACGCCGTCATCATGCTTAACGTGGATCAGCACAATCACAACGTGAAGAGACAGAACAATCCGATGACACCGGAGGAGTTCAAGAAGAACCTGAAGAAGGTGAACGGCGGCAACGATTTCGAGCAGGACATGCTCGACGAAATGTACAATGCTATTAGGAACGACGAGATCGTGATGCCGGCCGAGCAGACGGGTTTGGTGAGGGAGAACTACCTGTGGAAGGTGCTGCTGCGACGGGGTGCGTCCAAGGATGGAAACTACGTGCACGTTGCCAGCGCCGCCTACGACGTCGATCTGTTCAACATCATCTGGGGTCCGATCGTCGCTGCCCTCTCGTTCGTCTTCGACAAGTCCGAGGACACGAGCGCCGTCTGCAAGAAGGCTCTTCAGCAGGGATTCGCGAGATGCGCGGCAATCAGCTCGCACTTCGGCATGACCGACAAATTGGACATTCTCATGGCGACGCTCAGTAAGTACACGCTGCTGCACGGCGGACCCAAGACCAACGGCATTACCAATGTAACTGTGCACCTGGGGGCCAACGACAAAGCGCAGATGGCTCTTCGCATCGTCTTCACGCTGGCTCACCAGTACGGAAGCGGTATCCGCGAAGGCTGGAAGAACCTGTTCGACATGGTGCTGAGTCTGTACAGTCTGAATCTGCTGCCGAAGGCTTACACCGAGGCGGAGGACTTCATCGAGGGCAGCGGTAAGATCAGTCTTGTCTACGAGAACGTGCAGCAACTGCAGAAACAGGACACCGGCCTGCTGAGCAGTCTCTACTCTTACATGGTCTCATCCGAGAACATTTCGCGCATTCCCAGCGCCGAGGAACAAGTTTACATTGATCGCGCTATCGGCTGCATCGGAGAGTGCGGTTTGGAGCAGGTCATCACCGACTCCAAGTTCCTCGATGAGGACGCTCTCAACCATCTGATTCGCGCTCTCATCGATATGTCGCGTGGCCCGGACGTCGAGAAGGCCTACACCACTTACAACGAGAACGTGGCCGTGTTCTTCCTGGAACTCCTGGTGAAGGTCGTGTTGCAGAACCGCGACCGCGTTATGATCATCTGGCAAACGGTCCGTGATCATCTCTACACACTGATGATGAACGCCTCGCATTTCGATTACCAATTTCTGTTGGAGAGATCGGTGATCGGACTGTTGCGTCTCGCCATACGTCTGATGCGCAACGAGGAGATGAGTCCGGTGGTGCTGCAGTCGATGCGAATGCTGCTGATGCTCAAGGGTTTCACGCTGCATCGCATCTCGAGGCAGATTTCGTTCGGGCTTTACGAGCTGCTCAAGACCAGCGCGCAAAACATCCACACGAACACCGACTGGAGCATCGTCTTCACGTTGCTCGAATGCGTCGGAGCTGGTGCGCAACCGCCCAAACCCATCGTCGACGAGACGCAGCACACCGTCACGAAATCTGACGGAGAGTCGTCACCGGGCGTCGCCGAGGAGGAATCGCCCAACTCGCTGAAGGAAAGAGGTTACACCTCGGATTCGGAATTGAATCGTAGATCGCAGAGCCCTCTCCTTGTGCCGGGAACGCCGCAGAACGGTGGAGGATGGATCCTGGTGGGTAACGAGGGTGAGGTGCAGCCGGTCCTCGGTCGAACGTTACCTGCTCACCAGTACAGTTTGGCGCTCGAGATAAAACTGGGGCCGCACGATCCGATCGGCCTCGTCAAGTGCTGCGAGAGTTTGGCATTCCTGGTACGGGACGTAGCTCACATCACTCCCTACAATTTCGATGATTGCGTCCACTGCATTCGAACCTTCGTCGAAGCGAGTCTAAGAGAAAGTAAGACTGGTTCATCACATCATATCGTTTATATCTTTGCTCATTGCTCTTTCTCAATTAGATAAAACGACGAAACGAGTAGGCGCTGCAGGCGGAAGAGACTCGAGGATGCGTCGGAAACCTCCTCACCGGAAACTTCATCATCGCAGTCCCGCCTCCAGCCCGGACAGTCAAGAACAAAGCGACGACGAAGATATTCCAGGCGCTTACCATCAAGTTACCATTCAGGTTAATATTGATGCAATCTTGTTGAATTGTTTTAATTGTATTTGTATGTGTTGTTGCAGTTGCTTGATTTGATGCATACGTTGCATACCAGGACTGCGCAAATCTTCAGGTGGTGGGCGGAAGAGGGCGGAGAGGTTGCCCAGCAGGTGTCGCTTTGGACTCAGGGTTGGTGTCCGCTGCTGCAAGGAATCGCCCGACTTTGTTGCGACAACAGAAAGCAGATCAGGATGAGCGCCATCACCTATCTGCAGAGGGCACTCCTCGTCCACGATCTGCAGACGCTGAACGGTCCCGAATGGGAGGCGTGCTTCAATCGCGTCCTCTTCCCGCTGCTCGATCAGTTGCTTCGTCCGATCTGCGGCAAGGAGCAGACGTCCTCGCTGGAGGAGACCCGAATGAGGGCGGCGACCGTCCTCTCCAAGGTGTTCCTGCATCACCTCACGCCCCTTCTCTCGCTCGCCACCTTCCCGCAACTCTGGCTGACCATTCTGGATTACATGGATAAGTACATGCATGCGGACAGGAGCGATCTTCTCGCCGAAGCTATCCCCGAATCGCTGAAGAATATGCTTCTCGTGATGGAATCGGCGGGCGTGTTCGAGGGCGCTCCTGATTCGCAACTGTGGACTCTCACCTGGGACAGGATGGCCACCTTCTTGCCGCACATGAAGGAGGAGCTGTTCAGGGAAAAAGAGCAAGCCAGCAATGTCAAACAACAACAGGAATACTTGCAGCAACAGCAGCTGCAGGATGCGGTGAAACCACCTGTAAATACGTCACCTCTGTTTGTACATTTAGGCCAGGTAAGGGAACTCGATCGGTATGAATCATCGTGTAAATGCTAAATCGACGTATCCTCTTCAGATGGTATCGACTCCGATCGGACCGCCGACGACGCAAGAACCGCAAGAGTCCTCTCCGAATCATCACACGTTCCCCATACTGTACACCCCGCAGATGGAGCCACCGGTGAGCCTCTACTCGGAATACATGGGCAACCCGTACAACCTTCCGACGCTGGATAACAGCATGCCGACATTTCAGGCCCCCCTTCGCGACAATGAGACGGATCTACAGAATGACGGACGAAACGTTGACGGCGGTGATCCAAAGTTACAGACAGATCTAGTCGACAGCAACTGCAATCCAACGACAATTATAACGACGACGACGACACAGCAGCAGCAGCAGCAGCAGCCGCCGCTTCCGCCTCCTTCTACGTTGTCTACTTCCTCCTCTGCGAACCTCTTCCAGTCCGGCCACTATTTCTGTGGGGAACAGACGCAGGTGCCCGGTGCTGAAATCCTCTTCGGCTCCAACAACATTCCAATCCTCACCACCGAATCAAACACAAACAACAAGTACATGTGAATCACACATGACCATGTTGATGATGATGATAATGATGATGTTGATCGAAACGTGCATCCAATTACGTGCGTCAATTACGAGATATGCCAAAATTAAGAAATACATCCATTGTCTATTGATTTTAACGAAGCCGTCGAGGGGAAAGATTAAGAGACGAGACGAGATATTGTTGTTGTATTAAATATTATTACTGTACATACATACATACATTATATACATATATATATATATTACAAATCAGAAACTGATGATGAAAGAAACGACTAGTAATTTAAGCGAATATCCTGAAGATTTCCTAATATCAGTATGTATGCAACCCAAATAGCCCCAAAGCGTTTGAATTTCTTTGCTTAGTTCACGCAGGAAGTAGATGGCGCTCCGTTGTAGCTTCATAAAGGAGCGACGCGCTGTTCACATTCGAAGTATTACAATTCAAGTCGAACGAGTGCATCGCTCCAAGTTATTACGATGCAATTAGATTTTGCACGAGAAGACACACAACTTAACCAGATCTACTGTTCAATTCCAATCAGAAGATGGAAGCAATCCAAACGAAACCGATTTAACCCAACAAAACCAAATCCCTTCGATCCGTTGGCTATAAGCGGGCTGAACTAAGTAGGTTCGACGCCAACAATGAATTCTCAACTCATCACTCGACCTGAGAAGAAGACAAACCAATATAGAAGAAGAAGATTTAAAAAAAAAGAAGAAGCGACGCCGCCATCTCGATGACGCACGCACACGAGAAAACTGTTTGAATTTTTGAAATCAAATTAGTTCGATTGTATTTGCAAGAGAAACTTTGATTTTATGGCGAATTATAAACTTAATCAATACAGAAAACGATGCCATTTTATGATTTCTTTTGGCGAATTTCTCAAAGATCACAAACAATATATTAATGTTTGATGAACTACATAATGTCCAAACTATTATCGAATATTTAACCTCCTCTCAGATTATCTTTGATAAAACTTGTAATATTTAAACAATTTCGAATCTTCTTCAAGACGATTCTATCAATTTAAGTTTTTGAAAATTCCTCAAACTTTACAAATTACAAACAGAAATTCGAGTAGGTGATGCTTACGATATTTCTTCAATTCGATGCTAAAGTGCAAAAATCCAAGTGACCGTTGAGAAATCTTTCCAAATTGCTTTGTTTTTCTTCAACTCTTCAAAATTGCATATTCGCAACATCAAATAAACAGTCGTTTCCTGTTTATAAAGTAAAGAAAAACAAACGAGAGTCAGTCACATATTTATTTTAATTAATCGCATTCTCCGTTACAATCGGACTTGAGTATGTAATCGAAAGCTTTTGCTGCTGTTGCTATGGTGAAAGTAAACAAATAGTGCACAGGATATTACGTTACTGTTGACGTAGCCATGGAGATAATAAATAACAGAGAAGGCGGCGCGTGTTTACTGTGCAATTCTCACGTTACGCGTACAGTAATAGTAAGCAGTTTCGTTATCGCTTGGACTGAAAACAATGGCAAAGACGTAAATATTTTGTTGTTGCCACGCAACGAATATGCACTCCCCCACCACTATTTTGAAATTGGGAAGAGTACATAAGAAGAGGGTTTCCTCTTCTCCACGTCCACTTCCAGACTCGATCTTGTGCTGCGAAGTCCTCGTCATTCAAATAGATTCAATAATCTTGAATAGATTATGTGTTCTCCAATTGTCACTAATCACAAGCAAACACAGTTTCCAATTTGTTTTTATTCTTTTCGAACAACATCAATTGTTTTTGAACAAAGCAACCGTTTCTTTTTGTTGTCGCTGCTGCTGTTAATAGCAATTTTTTTTTATTGCTGCAGTTATTTGTTCTTGTTGCTGTTGGTAACCGTTCTTGTTAACATCATTTATTACCTTTTGGTTATAATGTATTTGAAACTAATTTCACGGTCCGAATGACATGTGTCATTTTTTTTAAATTTTTTCTTAAATATTCGCAAGCAACCTTCCGTTTCCGGACGTTCTTGTTCCATGTTCTTGTTTATTTTTATCATTGTAAACTTCTGATACATCAAACGACAGAGAGATGTCACCTCACATTTTAAACATTCACAATCGTATTTTGTTATTCGCGTTATTTTAATTAATTAGCGACATCTAACGACTCTCATCCGTTCCATTTTTGAATTGATGTACCCATTTTTCGCAGGACGCGAGAAATCCTTTTCGTTCTTTATTATTATTATTAATTGGAAAATTTGTCTGATTTACAATTCTTATTTAATCACAATCACTATTTGCTTCTTTCGTGCACGTCACTTTCTTTGACATTGACGTGTGCAGAAAGTTTGATCTTTCCGCTGTCACAATTTTTAATGACATCTTATTGGGGTATATTAATATTCTTCTAAATTCTTACAGTGTTTCTAAACGTATTTTCTTGAAATCACTGAAATGATCTTTCGCATAATCTGTATGCATATTCCTCATCATTTTCCATTTCCAACATCGATGAACTCGAAGTTGTAGCATGAACACTACCGAAAAAAAAATAAATAAAACAAATTTTCCTGCAAATATTAATGTTTCATGGCAAGAGCTTTATATTATTTATTTTATCTTGCCAAAAAAAAAAGGAAGAAAGAAGAGATGAGCAGAACTTTTGCACGAATTTAATTTATCGACGAGATGCTTCTGTAAGCTGCAACAATCTGATTGCATAATTATTATTATCTTGTAAAAATTTGACAAAAAGAAAATCCCCAAGAAAAACAAAAGATTTCAGACAGAAGACATTAAGTTTAGAACTACTGTATCGATTGTACAAAAACAAAATGTTAAAACGAGAGAGACAGAAAACAAAACGACGCCACGTTCGTATAGTTTCGTTTCTATTTCTATTTCAATGAAAACATACAAATTTACTTTTATTTTACTAAGAAATTGCATATTTCTATGAAACTTTTTCATTTTTCCGAAAATCGCTTTTCTTCTCTTTGACATTAGAAAATTGAAATCTATCCAATTTGTGACAAGTGTCAGATTTTGACAGAATGCGCAACTTCTGATATTCAGAATACAGTTATCGTTACTTTCTAACCGTTACTTAGTAACAAGAAATAGATAATAATTATAAATTATGTTTATTTATTGATTGAAGTATGTATATTGTTTGGTTTGCTTGATGGTGATGATGATGATGTTGATTGATACTGTTGTTCATCTCGATATCCACGCGAAGGATATGCAGAAAACGGCGATGAGATGACCGACGCCGAAGAGTTGCGTCCATCTGTCGTAGATGTTCAGCAGGATGTCGCGGGCGGTCCGATCCTCGCCGACGTCGTCCATCAGACAGCCGACGTACGTCAGCAGGATCATCGTTGACAGCGTGAAGAGGGCGTTGCAGGCTGTGGCGAGCAGCGAGCGTCCACCGCGAGAGTGCTTGCAATTCCTGCAGGCTTTCACGCGCACGCAACAGTCGAGCAAGCTGGCGACGCGATCCTGGAACTTGGTCTGCGCGTAGGAGAAGACGCCCAAGGTGAGAAGTACGACGGACACCTCGACGCTCATTCCGTGCAGCATCGAGGAGGCGAGGAAGGTGACGGTGATGGCGGCGAAGTAGCCGTGCGGCAGGACAGCTGGGAACACGTACCGCTTGAGGAACGTGTGCGTCGGTACGTTCCAATTCGTGACGACGGAAGCCAAAGATCGTGGTGCTTCGATTTCCAGCGGATTGGCGATCGCGTACGTCCAAGGCTTCTTCGCGTCATCGCTGAATCCTGCTGCGACCATCGCCGCTGAAGCCGCGTACGAGATGAAGTAGTGGCTCATCCTGAAGCACAACGCCTGCCTGAACGCCACAACGAATCTGCAAAAACAATTGATTAAATCTCTTCGCAACCATCACCATGGTTACTATATAACATACACGTTGTTATGGTCGTCGAGCATGAACGAGGCTATGCAGTTGCTGCAGCAGGCGAAAATCAACGACATCGACGCGTACTTGATGACGCTCCAAATCCACTCTACGCCCTATATTTACCAAATTGAAACAGTTTTATCAAGCAAGATGCAGATAATTCCTCTTACCAAGACTCTCTGCGACCACGATCTCGCCTTGTACTCTTTAAAACTCATCCACGGTCCGAGCACCACGTTCGCTGGACACCACAGATATCCGTTGTATTCCAAAAGCGAGGGCACCTCTTTACTCTTATGGACTTCGCAAGCCAACGAGATGATCTTCATCATCGCTATCATCACGACGCTGCGCATCTTCAGCCAAGCCTCTCGATCCGGTCCAAAGAATTCGCTGTCACCATATAAATTGTTCTCTCTTTGATAACGATTTTTTTTATAAACTTTGTTAACACTCACCAGAAGATCAGAATGAAGGCGAAGATCGGTCCGATGACGACGATCGGTTGCATCGATCTCGCGTTCAGATGGTGCAGAGCGTTGTGCGACAGCAGCACCAGCGGTATCACGAAGAGGGCTTCCAAGCTACCCCTCAACGCGAAACCAAAGACGTACATCAATCCGAGGATTGTCGCAATTGCGTGCATATTATGTTTTCCGTGTGCGACTAAAAGTAAAAATTTAATTCCAAACACAAACACAGGAATCATCATTAAAATACTTACAAATTTTCGTTAATCCGTTAAAGGCGAGACAATGCAGCAGCAGCACCAAAACAAAGTGCGACGTCTGCTTGATGGTCGGCAACGTGCAGTACTCGTACACACGCATGAAATCGTCCTCAGTCTCTTCGTAATAAACGTAATCATCTTCGATCATATCTTGATAACTTCTGCGAGGATTTACAAGAAGTCAACACAAACAACAATACGAAATACAAGCTACTTACTCTTCGGAATACATCATGAAACTTTTCTTTGGATTCTCCTCCTCGCTGCAATTTCGCTCGCGCCTGAAGCAAAAGTGTTCAAACGACTGAACAACTCAGAACTCAGAAGAAACAAGGCTCGGGAAGGGATGAAATTTAGAAACAGGGAAGGGATCTTTATAGCAAACGCTCATACCTATTTTTCTACGAATAATTATTTTCTTAAGTAAACCTTCTTCGTTTCTTTTTTTTTTGTTTTTAAATTTATCCTCGACGTTTGCAAGTGTCATCTACACCGATGCAATGACAGATGTCATTTGAAATTTTTCGACTGTTTATTGCAAAATGTCATATCGGAAACAATGAAGAAACAAAGAACGATCGCTCGATGAGCCATCTTTATTTTTCTTACAAACTGCTGTCATCGGTGAAAATTTCGAAAAGTTTAATAAACAAATTGCACAAAATCTTTAGCAAATACGAATATAAATGATTCATTTTTTCTATTCTTATATATTGGAACCTTTGGACCAAGTATCATCCACGCACAATCATCTCTCTATTAATATTCGTTCGCTGTATACTTGACAACGTCGACAAAATTATAAAATTTATTTACCATACAATTTACCATACAAAATTTCAAAACGAAAATCCATCAATCGGATTTATCTAAGAAAGCTTTTGAACTCGTTTCGTTTTGGCAACGGATGCTTTGATTTCAATATGTTTTCTTATTACTGCTTTTATTCGTTAATGCCAAAACAATCATCAGCGGAAAGAGCGAAACCTACGAAAATGACATTTCTCAACGACACTTCAAAACTAATGAACTGTCACTGTCAAATTATTTGAAACGTCAATTATGAATATTGACATAATTGACGTATTCTATATTACTTTAGCATAATCGCTGATGCTGAATTTTCTTTTCTAAGGAAATTATATATGTTAAATTAACTGTCGTGTCCCAGGATTCTAATGTCTCTTTTTAAGGAATGCTCGTGGTGAAGTTGGAGTTTTTATGATAATTTCTATGTTTTTATGAGTCTAACTAGGACTCTGGAGGACTCGCCTCTAAGACTAAAAGTAATTTGGACTGGCGACTAGCTAATTTGGACATAAACAAAAGTAATTAAGAATAATCGTTATGCAATGGGATCTTCCTAAGTGGCATTTGTACTAAGTCTTAATGACTTAAATACATGCACATATACAAAACAATAACGGTTATTTCATCTATTTAGACACATTTTTTTGCTTGTATTTTCATCTTCTCTTTCTGTATCTACACTATAAAGTGAAAATCTAATATTTCTTAATTTATTTATTTTTTTTTTGGATAATTAATTACGAGTCCGTTAAAGTCGTTTCAATGCTGCGATAATTGCATTGAAATATTATCATTATTTGTGATTCTTATATTTGGAAAACATAATCCAATTAAAAAAAAAAAATCTATTTTCGAAACGAAAGAATCCCGCTTTTCCAATCATTTATCCCGGTTTTATATTTAAACGCTCGTTTCGTGGGAGGCGGCGGCGGCGGCGATGCAAATGACGATCGTAAATAAAAGAGAGCGACGGCGACGGCCGTCGCTGAAGCAACAAACGTGTGTATCTTGAATTCGTTGAATTCCACCACAGACACGTTCATTTTATCTCGCACTTTATTTATAAAACGTTTTTATTACGCAAATTTACGAGCATCCCCCCCGTGAATAATTGTAATTTAAAATATATATGTATATATCGAAGGGGATGATTCTTTGGTTGCATACCATCGAAAACAAGTTTTTATTTTAAAATTCATTGTTTGTTTTTTCTTACCGCGACGCTGCAGAATTCTGGTTGTTCGTTTCTTTGTCGGCAGCTTTGAATGTTACATCTGCTTCATCGTCGTCGCTATTGTTATTATTAATATTTTGATGATATTATTTTTGCAAATATTTGTCGATTTGCAAATTTACTCCTTTGTTTTTTTACGAAGATGACGACGTGCGACGGCGGCGGCGGCAACGGAACATCCACATGACGCGCTTTGACATGTGTCAATATCATCTGGTGATGGTGATGACGGTGCCACCTGTCGAGTGCTATCATCTACTAAACACTTATATACAAATACAAATCTCGAATGACAAACTAAAACGGAACAAACGTAACGTAACGTTAAAAATGCATTATAAATATTTTTTGTCGAAATATCTTGCACCTATAGTTTCAATGAATGAATGATCACAGATCGCCATAAGCTGCTCCGTCGAGTCTTAAGTAAATTGTATTTAAGTTTCGAAATACTTTGTTGTTGTTGTTGTACAAAATAAGTCGTTGTGAATTTTTTTTATCTAGCTCTGAGAAGTTATAGTATTACCATATTTCTACTGTTATCGTGGGATAGACATTTTTTGTGCTGCAAATCGGAAATGTCATTTCTGACGTTACTGCATATTTTATTTACCAGTTTGAGGTTGCGTGCTTTGCGTCATATCGGAAATGTCATTTTTGACAGTCGTTATTTGAGTTTTTTTTAATACGAGTTTGAGGTTGCGCGTTATATCTATTACGTCATTACTGACAGTCGTCGTTATATGTCTTTTACGCAAGTTTGAGGTTGCGCGTTTGGTGTCATGTCATATGTCACACAAATGTCATTTCTGACAGTGGTGTTGATAAGGTTGCGCATTTTCTTTTGTCGATATGCGGCGTCTAATTTGCAAGGCAATATTGATTAATGCAATTTCTTCGTTCGTTCGTTCAACGAATGTGATGGGATGTAGAAGTGGAGGGTGAAGGGTGAAGGGAGTGAAGGAAGAAGAGCGGTCGCGGCGCGCGATAGAAGAAAGAGCGATAAATCTTCGTCGAAGTCGAAGATGTAGAAGTAGAGGAATCCATCCATCCGGATCGACGGAAATTTACAACGTAACGTGAACCTTACGTTGTTCGTGTTCTCTTTGCGTCCGTCCGTCCGTCCGTCTTTTATTTGTGTCCGTCCACCTCAGTCCTCCTCCTTATACGAGGTGAAAAAGCCGTAGATGGTCATAGGCGGCTGGAAAATTCCTGTTTGCATTTTTCACGCCGTTTTTCCCGCGCGCATTATGTTATTACATAATGAATTCCGTGGCGTTCCATCGCTTTTTTCGCATTCCGTACCAGCAGAATCCATCCAATTTATACACGTACAAACACACTTGGTTATCATTATAATCATCATCGTCATCATCATTACTACTACTACTGCTGCTGCTGCGGGGCTTGCTTTGGTTTCGATGGTGGTTGTGGTTGCGATGGTGACGGTATTGCATTTGTTTTTTTTTTATTTATACACCGGCTGCAAATTACGCCGAGTCCAATACGATACGTGATTTTACGATCGCAGTCGGTGCATATCATCATCATCATCATGAACAAGAACGTATCGTTTCTTCGTCCTGCTGCGTCTCCTTTTCTCTCTCTTATTGTATGCAATTTCATTCGATTGCGAACGACGACGACGACAGTAAAATACGTTCTTCATTGCCCTTTCGGCTTCAATGGGCTTCGGCTACCTCTAAAATCGCTACTTTATTATTCGCTCCAACCACCAACCAACAACACGAACAAACTACCTTCCATTAACATTCGCGACGTCGCGCATTTACTTTTTACGCAAATTATTTTATTTTCCGTACACGCGCCAACGCGTAACGTAACGTAACGCGACGTAAACACTTAACGCGTGATCCATTCAATTTGAACACGTTTTCACCAATTATATATATATAAAAAAAATGGTTGTTTGTTCATCAAAGTTTTATATTCGCATTGATATTCGACGAGCACACATTTATATTATTGATTCTTTTCTTTTTATCAATCAAATCTTCTTCAGCGACATTTTCTGTCATCTGTTATCATGATTACTATTATTGTGATTTTTCATTTTCAATTAAGCCAATTTAACATTTCCCCTTCGTTTTTAATTGCGATCGCAATGGGGCACAGTAACCACACCGACAAGTTTGCGTTTGATGGTTGCTATGCGACACGTACAATATCTATATAATATTTCGAATTATCTTGTTTCCTTAGTAACTATTGTCGTTGCTAGAGGTAACATCTGATCTGTTGTTTAATAACTATTATTGTTGCTATGATTAATGATGATGATGATGATGATGACAAAGAAGATGTTCGCGTTCCATGTGTCTCTTCTCCTCCTGCTGCTGCTTCTATATTTGCTGGATCGGATGCTGTGTGGCGGCGCAGACGACGGCCGGGGTCTGCTCTGATCGTTGCTGCCGCCGCACACGCCAGTCTCGCGGCACCTCGCGACCGGGACGATTTCGACAAAACACTCTACTCCTCTCGCTGCTCGTCGCTTAGCAACCAAACAGTCATCATCATCATCACCCTTAACAACAACAACAACATTACCAACGGACGTAACAAAAAAGCAAAAAAAAAAAACAAAGAAACAAAAGAATTCGAGAGATGCTGTCGTTGTCGTTCTTCCACGATTTTCGCGCTTCAATTTTGAGCCACGTCCGACGCTCGATGATGTCCAACGAGGAGGATTGAGTGATATGTTCGAATCCTGTGGGAGCAACGGTAAATTGATTGAATTTCATCTAAAAAAAAAAAAAACAAAAGCAAACAAAACAATTACCATAAACCTCACCGTTTACCTACACACACACACACAATGATTAGACTTTCTCCATCTCCTCTACACGCAATTATTAACATGCAAAGAAAACGAAAAAAAAAGAAGAAATATTTGAAACTAACCTCTCATGTTTTCTAGCCCGAAAGCCAAAGCGAAATACCATATAATTATATTGCCGACTCTTGTGATCATTTTCTCTTTTTTAACGACGTGTCTTTCTTTCTTTCTTCCTCAAAAAAAAAAGAAGAAAGAGAGAAAAAGAAACAAATTTCAATCGTAATGATTGAGCATCATCATCTTCTGTCATCGTCGTTCATCTTTTTTCTTTCTATTCCAAAGTAACTTGATTAATGCGGGTCGTGAACTTTGAAAAGTTTTCGAGAAATTCCTTCGCTAAAATCGTGACCATCGTGATCGACCATCGAATAATTACGATTATTTATCTTTTTTTTTCTTTAATTTTTGCAAAATTATTACTGTATTGGTGCAAATCTATCTACATTTTTTTTTTTCTTAATATACATATTTTGATATTTCGGCGCTCTTGATTATTTCTTTTGTGTCGTAATTTGATATTACTGCAATATTTAAAAATATCGTTTTTGTTGTTTTCGTATTATTTTACCATTCTGAGCATCGCAACAATCCATTTACTTGACATCTTGTTAGTTGACAAATATTTGACACGTCACCGAAATGTCAAAAAAAAAACAAAAAAACAAATTTCCGGTTACGCTAATTACCGTGACTACGAAGTCAACTTGATTGTAATACCGAAATTGCAACTTCTTGCTCCGCCAATTCACCACCACCAACGTCAAAATTCGACGATTCGATTCGAAACATGATACTTACTATGACGGTAGAGTTAAAAAACAACTTTTCAAATACTTATCGACGTTTCATTATTTTGCACTATAATCAACTTTCAATATTGTTGTGGTTGTCAAAACTGCATCAATGACAAGAGGATTTGACAGTTGTCAATAGTTTTGTGCTGCTGTCAAAACAGGTCGTTGAGATTTGCGATTCTTGTTTGATCTTCGCTTCTGTTGTAGTCAATGTACATGGCGAAGAAGAACCGATTGTGTTTTTAATGTGAAATTACGCAATTTTCTGCATGCTTATATTTGCATGCGTTGCGTCAGTTTCGAACGGTGTCATCATCATCGTCACCACCTATCATCATCACATCATCGATGTATGTGATTTGAATAATGGAAATTACATTTTCTTGTCTTGTCTTCTTCTGTTGTTTTTTTTCGTTTCTCAAGGCCCGTGTTGCCTCGGTTAAGTTAAGATTAAAGTTGAAGGAGATGAGCGTTTCGGTGAAAGTGTTTCCTAGCTTCTTAGCCAGGACACACACACATTATTTTTCTTGTGCCGCCGGAGCAGAGCAGGAAAAGGAAATTTACATTTTCTGGCTGCGGAAAATTGGAGCGTGAAAAGCGCTCTTTTTACATCTCTCTCTCTCTCTCTCTTTTACACACACACATACAGCCAGACAGGCAGACAAAACACATCGTGCAATTTGTCGTATCTCGTCGTCTCGAGAGTGTACGTAGTGGCGTAGAGGAAAGGGGTGGAAAGGGATGTGCAGAGGATAGAGGATGTAGACTGGGAAATGGATAAGCTTGAGCCGCCGCAGGACGAATCTTCTTCCTTCATTCTCGCCCACTCACTCACTCACTCCTTCGTTCGCTACGAACTACATCAGCAGCAGCCACCGCCGATTTTCCTTTTTGACGGATGACCTATAATCATCGTTCTCATTCTTTCATTCATCGATATCCGCAGAAAGGATTCGATCAGCGAGATGCTTCCTTTCTACATCTCTGAAACATCTCCGCGCTCTTAAATTTCATCCGCAACTATGATCGATCCATTTCGTTTCGTTTTTGTTTTGTTGCAATCAACGAATGGCATATGTTTTAATTGCGTTAACCAACCTTCTCACCGTTTTTACACAAGTATAAAACATAACAATCTGTCAAATGATGACAGACGTCATCGAGATATGAGATCATTGAACCGTACCGATTTTCATATCGTGTTAGGCCCGCATTTCATTGAACTGATTATTAAATAAACTCCTATATATCACCTGTCATCATCATAATCGAAAGATCATTTTTTTCTCTTGTTGAATTACAAAGGTATAATCTATAATACATTGTACTACATTTACATAATCATGTGTCAAGATGACAGACGTCATCAATACAAATGTGACAGGTGTCTTTCGGACAGTTCCATGAGAAACAACAACATAAATGTATTTTCCAATTTAATTAAACCATTCCAATTTTACGTTACCACGTTCACACGTGCTGTTTGTATAACATTAAGTGGATTCGATCGCCTGTCCGCCTTTCATATCATCATTGTCACAGTGACACATGTCTTAGAACTTTTGCGTCATGACCCTGAATTATTAACATATCCTGCATGTCTGGACGTCACTGTCATTTTGAACGTCATCATTATCATAGTTGTTGTTTGATTGGTTGCAGTTTTTTGATGATCGTGTCAAAAACTGTGGTTACATTTATACACTCAAATTCGTACCAATAAAAAATGGTTAAATCTAGCGAGAAATGAAGAGAGTGTTAGTTAGATGCGGGGCGGATGTTTGCGTACATTTAAATCAATGAGTTTCTCGTATAGTCGCAGTTCGTTCGTTCGTTCGTCCATCCATTTATTTCCAGGACGGGCGTCTGTTTGATGAATGCCTAATGGCCGGATTGATCCTGCTGCTGCCACCCGTCCCTCTATCCTGCTGGGGCCACGATCATTCCACCTCACCCCCATACTCTACTGCATTTAACAGGAGGTGCAAAATCACAATTAGCGAAAGCGATTCTCTTCTCTCTCTCTCTTTCCATTTGCAAAATCGAAATCGAATCATCGTCATCCGTCAGGTTGACAGTTTGACGTTTCAATCGACGTCAAACCGATTGCTGTATTACTTTTTTCAACATTATCATAAACGTCATTATGACAACCGTCTTCCAATCACATTCACACAACAACAACAAAAGATTTTCTCACAAATCGATGTGCCAACTTTGAAATTTCCGTTTCTCTTTAATCATCGATCTGACGTCTCGTCTGTGAACAACAATCTAGTTTTTTCGATTATAATCATTGATGCTGACGCTGAAACGAAACAAAAACTGTCAAATTGTGACGTTCATTCATTAATCTTTAACTGGTCAATTCCTGTACCGGCTAAATCTAGTATTCTTGTTACATTCAACAGTAACGATAGCAAAAGAGATTTTCCATTTTTTGGAATATCAATTTTGACGCTAGTTCTCACAAATCGATGTGCTAACTTCAGTTATGTTTTTTTTTTTTTGAACAAAAATTTCGTCATCGACTGTCGTCCATTTGACGTCAGATTCTGTTGTTTTCAACAATTGATGAGGTGAAACAAAACACGAATAAATTGTTTCTTTCCACATGTGGTGGTGATTCTCTATTTAAAGACACGAGCAAATAAGAATGAGAGCGTGTTTACTGCCACTGCGATCTGCTGTTTTAAATCAATTGTTTCATCAATCCTGCTGATGTTTTCTTTACTTTCTCTCTCGCGCGCATTCATTTTTGAACACCTTTCCTGCATTGATGCTTCGAGTAAATGGGAGTGAGTGAGTGAGTGAGAGGAAAAAAAAACTTGTGGTGGTGGGGGAGGGAAACCTTTTGGGAAATTTATCGCGTTTGCTGCCCGTATGGTAATGGAAAAAAAAGAGAGAGAAAGAAAGAAAGAAAAGCGGACGTGAGAGATGTCTGCTTGTTCGGGTTGGGGAAAACTGGGGTAAAAACGGTGCAAAAAGAAAGAACGCGAGTGAAGAAGTGAAGTGGAAATGAAAAAAAAAAAATTGTAATTTGTGTTCGTGCGCGTCGCGACACGGAGAATATCTTTTTATATTCAGACCACGAAAATCTTAAATGCGAAATTCTAATTTGAGATACCGCCGCCGCCGCCTCCGCCTCCGCACCCGACGACCGCGAGCACTAAAAAGGGTAAACAGTGAGACCACTTCTTCAGCTCGAAAAGCAATTTATTACGTCTCTTCTCTATCTCTTTCTCTACACTCAACCAAAACCAACAACTATCTCACTAACCGCCTCCGAGACTTGTGCTTCTTGTTCTTGTTGTTGTTGTAGTAAAAGCGAGGCGGCTGTGGAAGAATTTTGTTTCGCGGCGGCGGAGTAGAAAGCAAGGGGCGAAGCTCATTTATTTATTGCGCCCACTTCATTTTCTTTCTTTCTTTCCGAGACATGAATCAAGCGTGCACTTGAGAGAAAACCACCGTGTTTTGTTCATTTCAAGCGCAATTTACCTCGACGCCGCCCGTCTAATTATGACACCGCAATTACGATTACGAAGTTCCCAACAATCCGATAGATGTCGTAAACGGCAAAATCAATCAAACTGACGTCATTTGTTCTTAATTAATATATTGAAACAATTGCATCCGTTCCATTTGGAATTGCATTGCGCCTAGGATAATATAGATTTCATCGAGAAACGTTCATTCATTTCGTTTTCGCCTGCCGTTTCTACAATTTGTAGCACACCTCGTCGTCGCTTATTTAATTTTCCGCGACAAATGAGAACGCATAAATAATTCTCTCTCTCGCGCGCACACCACCAATTTTACGGTCTGTCGCGTGCCGCCTCCCGAAAAAAAACAAAAGCACGACCATTTATTAAAATTCTTATTACACAAAACAAAACAAAAAAAAAAATCCCCCAGGTTTCTGTGTTCGCTGCTGAATTGCAAACAAAACTCACTAGAAATTATTTATAACCACACACGCACACACGTACGCCATCTTTGATTTCTATGCGTATTAATTGCTGGACATACTCACAAAGTAATTATTACAAAAAAAAAAATGAAAAATGTAAAGCAGATTTTCTGTTTATCCAAATTTAATATGTATATGCGGAAATTAGTCCAAACCAGAGAAGGTGTTTTCTCGTTGTATTTATCTCTCGATTTCCTATTTTCGTGAAATCGAAAGCTCATCGCTTTTTATTCGTTTGTTTCCTGTTGCGTTTTGCTCTTGGGTTTCCACATCAATTGTTATATATATATATACTAATAATATTAGTGAACGATGTGTAAAGTTGGCTGTGGGTGGATGGGGTAAGTGGAAAAGGGTTACGTAGCGACGTAATTTAATTAGCGTTTGAACTGCGCGCGCTAATTTTCAATTAATTAACTTTATTAATTACAAAAAGGATGGTTGCGCTCCCTCTTGCCGTCGCGTCGTGAACCGCCGACGAAAAACGAACAAAAAGAAGCCGTGTCTTCATCGTCAGGCGACTCGATCTTAAAGTTGGATGGTTAGCGAATTGTTTTTGGGGAAACCCACGTAAAGTTGCCAACACTTCATAATTAAATTTCCCTGGGATGGAATAGTTCGAGTGCGCGCATACCTGACGCAACCCTCATACCATCCACCCACGCGTCGTTGCCAACCACCACCACCCCCGCATCTCACCGACTGATGATTTAATGCGGTCGTGGGAGGCGGCGAATTTATGTTCGGCTTAGCGCGGGAAAACATAAAATTCATTCCGCGCTCCACCGCCGCCACCTCCGTCGACGTAGCAGGAAAATAACTACATTATTATTCCTGCAAATCTACCAAACCTAACCTAACCATCAACATCTAACATCAAATAAAACAAAACAAAAAAAAACGTTACAGGACCATCTTTTTTATGATTTCTTCATCGAAGAAGGCGGCAAAGGAGTTTAAGACTCTTCTATCTTTTTTTTTATTGTCTGGTTGATATCGACAGGTGCGCGCACGGACGACACACGATGAAGACATAAATCATCGTCGCGATTCAATTTTCCGCGCGTCCCGGGAAAACTTTCCTAATAAGTCTTCCTTTTTCCCGGCGCGGCGACACGACACGACCGTATCTTCGTTTCACTCCTCTCCTCAACCCCTTCTCTATCGACCAGTCAAAGATAGAGAGAGAAAGAGAGACAGAGAGAGAGAAAAGCATCCCGGATTATTTTCGCTTTGTCGAGGAAAGAAATAATAATAATAATAACAGTAATAAAAGGAAGAAAAAGAGAAGGGTAACAGCTATCAATTGTTTCACCAATTCGGAAAACGACAGATGTTTCTCGTAATTCAATTGTTTTTCCATTATTTTACAGTATCGCCACTTCGGTTGCGTTTCCTCGCACGTCATCTTGTTTGACAGATGTCACATCGATGAACGTCAAGTATTCGATATCATTTTCTTTCCCCCAATTCCACTATATAATATCTTTAAAAAACGTATCGAATTGCAGAAACTGTAATTACTAATCTTAGCTGATCAATTAATTAATTTATTAATTTATAAATCTTAAGCAATCTATGGGCACGCATGCATATGTTATAATTTAATGTTAAGGAACGTTTCGGTTGTTTCGCCTTTTCCATCTCAGATGTTTTGTGTAATTTTTGCAGACGCAATGTACATGGACGTGTTCCGTTTACAAAAATCTTGTTATTTGCATTTAATTGTTGTCATAACAATCATTGTTTTTAAATGATTTCATGTAATTTCCCCCAAAAAAAAAAACAACCTTCTTCGTCGTTTTAAATACATCTGTCATTTTTGACGTGTACAGATAACATCATTTTTGACGTTTTGAAAATGTTATTATTATTTTGATCTTGCAACCACCAAATTTATGGCAAACTTTTATCAATCGACATTTGCAAATTTGCGTGTCTGTTCAGCAGATGTCAACACTTGATCTTTATTTTACACGTATACTTTGATAGTATTTGCTTCTGATTAAATACAAAAAATTAACAACATTTTTAAATTCCATTATTGATAAACCCATAACGCTTTTTTGATAAACGTTTTATCATAAAATATGACTATTTTCTTCTGAATCTTTTTTGATTAAAAAAAAATTGAGGTAACAGTTTTTATATTCAAGTTTGATCTGTTAAATTTGTTTTATTTTCGTTGAAATTAACCATTTTGTTGTTGATGACAACGTCACTTTGACATTAACCTCAATTACGTTTGTATCTACATTTGCAAAGAAACAAAACTTAAAACGTCAAGTTTATAATGTTCACTTTCTGTTCTACTTTAGAAAATATGTGTAATTTTACAATATGCGATTGATGCAGAGACACTGTCGATTGTGTTCAATCGAAATTAGAAAAAGAACAAAATTTTGACAGATGTCATATTATCGAAAGCAGAGTGTCAAACGATGTCCGCAGTTTTAAATTGACATTTCCATTACTAACTGTTCCATTACTATATGACAATTTCTATTTATGAAGTTTCACGTTAAATTGTCTTAATTGTTAAACTGTTTTTCAAGAACATATATTCGATATATTTTGTCGACTGCGATTGATACAAAAAATGAATTTGATGGATCTATTTCTATATGTTTCGTTTTAATTTGTGATTGTTAAAATGTCAACATATGCAAACATATGTAACTTTACTGAATTTTCCTAATTAAAACCTGAATGATTTTCAACGAAAATTGATGTATGCACATATTGTTGATAAATTCTCGCTGAATTTTATAATTTCCGAGATTCGACAAAAAACAAAACTTTGACAGATGTCACATTATTGACAGATGTCAAGATTTGTTTGTTTTTTCCAATTCGAACTTTACGGAAGTGCGTCGTGTTCTGCTCCCTCAATCACATCTCGCAATTTCTACGTTGTGTAATCTTTTCAAATTAAAAAATGACGTTTTTCTTCTTCTGTTTGTTTCTTGTTGAGATTGTTGTTTAAGAAAATTCAATTGAATGAAATATTTTAATTGCGGTTTGTGATTTTTGTCGCAGATGTTGCACTCGTCGGCGGTGGCCGTCGTACCGACCAATAACCATCATCACCATAGCAACAGTAACCATCAGCAACAGCATCAGCAGATGATGGTCGAGCAGCCGAGCTGGTCCAGCCAATCTGCGAGTCCCTCACCACCGCTGCCGCCTCCGATGGTCGCCGCCTCAGCCAGATGGGCACGGGTCGAACAACAACAACAGCAGCAGCAACAACATCAGCATCTGCAGCAGCAGCAGCAAACACCCAGCTCAGAGACGACGTCTTGTCCTCATTGCAGAGGTCGTCTGGCCTCGTTGCCAACGAGAACCACTTCGATCAGCAGTTATTCCGGCTGCAAAGGTAACACCACAACCATCATTATCAATTGACTGATTGATAAGTTTTACTTTCAAAATAATCCTAGTAAACGCTAACTTCTTAACGCGTTAACATCAATCAATCTTATTTAATCTTCACATAACACAATCATTTGTTATGAACTTTAGTGATTCCCTTTTGCGTTTTCGTTTCGAAATAATCCACTCACAATATTATTTATTTAACTGCAAATTTTTGAAAATCTCCAAGTCGTAATTGAAGTTAATCTATAAAATTTCATTTTACAGTTAAATAAATAATATTGAGAGTGGATTATTTCGAAACGAAAACGCAAAAGTTGATTTCTCTATAAATAAAGAAAAGAACGATAGTAACTGCAGTAGGCGTGTCATCCGGGAAAACAATAGAAATAAAACAAATGCCAATGTTGTTTAACGTTCATCGATAACAGAACAATGTAATAAACGCATTTGTTTTTAATAAACGCAGCACGCAAGAGAAGGGCAAATTTTTTGAAAATCTCCAAGTCGTAATTGAAGTTAATCTAAAAATTTCATTTTAC